ACGCCCCTACATCTAGCGATGAATTCCAGGGTTTTAATGATGTTAACTTGCAGGATGAGACCCGAAATGCTGAATGGCTGCAGTGGCGTGGCATCGACTCACCTGAAGAATTGGATCCAGCTGGAAGTAACTCCAGCGATTCAGATGAAATTTAAGGAGCAGTTTGAGAGCCATCTAATCGCAGAGTTCAAAGTGTCGCATGCTGTGTGCTTTGTGTTTACTCTTGCCGTGAGCTTTGTTTACAGCTTCGTGTTCCTGCCTGTGGAATCATCCCTGTCGGATCCTGCCTTGTATGTATGCCTTGTTCTGACTCCTGGACCGTCTGACTACGCCTCTGCCTTGCCCCTGGATCTTCGTTGGACCGCTCTCCATACGGAGGGTCGTTTGCTGAGTTATAGCTGTTGTTTTGGACTACGTTTGAATGCTGAAGCCAAACTGACTGTCTGTGTTTAAGACTGCCTTTTCCTTGTGCTGACTGAAGCTATTTTGTTTACGTTCTGCTGACTGCAAGCTCCTTAATTTATGACTCTGAAGTTAAGAGGTCTTTTGTTTTGTTAAAGAGACATTAAACAACCTCAATTAGCTCCTGCTTAGCTGCTTTGTTCTACCGCCGGACCTGAGTCTTGACACCCAGACAGTACCAAAATCTAATATACAGCTCCAACTTAAAAAACAAGATGAACTCAAAAAGAAACAAATCAAGAAAAGGCTAGAGCAATTTATTTGAAACAATCCTATACTTAACAAGATTTTGGGTAAGCAATATGAGGTGAATTGTTAAGCAGCTCATTGATGTATATATCATTAGCAGAAGTACTGTTATCTGGAGTGCTGTTATAAATGAGGTTCCAGATGAAGAGGCAAGTAGAAGTATTGCTATCTGCACTTATGTGGGCAAATAACTGTAACATCTCAAGCTATAAATCTATCACTAGTCATCACCTAACCCAGTGAAATGAATTCTAGAGGGTGGCTCAGTTCAATCAGCTATTACAGCCAATTATGAATATTGTATACCAGATTGTAGGTTAGTGTTGCTTAAGTACTTTTAAAAGTACTTGTGTCAAACAGTGTGTTTGTTCATACTATGGGTATTTTCAAAACATTCCACATTTCAAATGATGAAATTAGATAACGTCAGGAATATCCACTATGCACTGCTAGAGATGTTGACAATCTTATGTACAGGCTTGAGAGTGAACTTTCACTACATATATTCAGTCTCAATTATACCTTACATGTTTTAGTGCCATCACATGCATGACTTCACATGTCTGCTTCATTACATTTACATGTTGACAATGTAGAAGAGTTTTACATGCCACAAAACAAATGGATTTTCTCTCATATGATATAATACAGTGTTTCTCCCCTCTATCTATGTAAGCAGAGGCTTGCTCATATATGAGACAACCTTCACTAGATAAACGTGGGGCAGACTCATCTCATGATAATGAGATGAAGTCTTCAAATGGTTGGAATGCTAGACTGATCCTCTTGAGGGGAAGAACAAACAAAATCAGTTCAGAGGCCAGAAAATTATATTTTATGTACAAAGAATTGAGATGAGCTACTCAGAAGGCAACTCTGATACTAGGCAACAATTGCATCTGTTCCTCAATATTAATGCAAAGAATGAGTTATTTAAGTTCTCTAATAAAAGAAAAATTCTTTCCCAGGAAAAAGACTGATCACTGAAGTTATTGTGGCAATAAAATATAATTGAAGCTGAACATATGAAGTTCTTGAAAACATATGATTTCAACATCAAATGCTGAAGGGTTATTGAAAATAATTAATTAATAAATAACTTTATTTGTATCTCCCGCCACCATCTTCCAAAAGGGACTTGGGGCAACTTACAGCACAGCACAAATAGTGCCATAAAACACATAAAATACAGGTAAATTACATCAACATATTAAACATTTATTTATTTATTTATTTACTATATTTGTATGCTGCCCTTCTCTGCCCTTAGGCGAATAACAATATCACTTAACATAAAACAACATTTACAAAGAATAAGAAGCCCAAACTCAATTTAAATAAAATGCTCAATAAAATTCAGTAATAGCTACTATTAAATTGGGCAGTATAACATCCCAGCCACAGCCAAAATTCAAATAACATTAAAGTGCCAGAGTCAATATCAACTTGTTTGGCCCTCTAGGTTAACTGATGTCTTGGTCATTTTCAAAAACCTGCCCGAAGAGCAACGTCTTCAGCTCCTTATGGAAACACTGCAGTGTGGAGGCTACCACTGAGAAGGCCCTCAGCCCTGTCCCCTCTGACTGAACTTGAGACTGAGAAGAGGGCCTCCCTAGCAGATCTTAGATCGCACACCATTCCATAGGCGAAAATGAGAGAGAAGAGTCATATTTAAAGGCACAAGAGCTCCCTTGTGATGTTTAGATGACTTCCCAAATTGAAGGCATTAGACAAGTTTGGCACTACCAGCAAGAAGACCTAATTTACACCCACTCATCTAACCTCACACAGATGAAATGGTGAATAGGGCCTTCCACATGTATAGTGTCAGAAAAGTTTTTTTTTCTTAGGGCCTAACTAAATGTGGGATAGTAGTTTTGGATGTCCTCCATCTCATTTTCAATATATTTTTAATTACTCTAGATTTTTCCCAAATGGAGTCCCTGGGAAATAATTGTGCTAGGGTGATTGGCCTCTAGTATTTGCATGTCACCCTGTGTGTTGTGTTCTCTTCTTCATGCTGGAAGAAACCCTAAAAAGGATTAAGTTTAGTCCACATTGATCTACTTTCTTTGACTTGCCTCTTTATCTAGAACCTTGCTTAAAAGGGTACGCTCATATGAAGTTAGCACATATGTGCCAGCACCACTCTGATGTAGTCATTATACTGAACAGAGAGCAGTGGGAACTGCAACAGCTACAACACTCTTTGCACTTCAGACCTTCAACATGTTGTGCTGCAGCATAGACTCTGAGCAGGTGATTTGGCTTCTAGTGCTGCTCTCATCATTCAAAGTGTCAGCACAGTTCTTTAGAGCTTATTGCCATGGAAACAAGGACTTGTAATTGTTTATATATGACTAAGCATGCATATTAAGAACTTGTCTGCTGCTACCTTTGCCTAGGCATGAGCCTTTGCAGAATAATGTGGAATAATATTTAGGTGTGGGTTTTTGTTTTTTTGCTAAGACATTGTCCTCTAATTTTAGCAAACATTAAGTTTTCCATGATTGGGGGAACTATTGAGAACATGCTCAGTTGAGACATTGGAAGAAGGTGCCCTGCAGAAGTGGTGCAAGGAAATGATGTGATGCTGCGTATAATACAAGAATCAATACTTACATAGATAAGCCCCGAGTAGTATCTTTCCTTTAAGTTGTGTAAAACAGAGGCCTCATTCAGGCAGGTCAATTCAGCCATGTCTTCCACTTTAGAGAACTTAGGCGGGTTCATCTTTTGGATATCATCTTTGTTTACTCGTACTTTCTTCCCATTCTCTGCAAGCTCCACAATAGCTTCATCTCCAACTTCCTCCTTTAAGCTAGCTGGTTCAAAACCATTCTTTTCTGATGGGACCCACACCAGTTTCTTGGCCGCCCAATCGGCCTGAGCAAGTGGGTTGTTGATGAGATTTCTATCCACATAGAGGTATTTGTCAGCATCTCTCTGAGCCATGATGGTTTATAAGAAGGGACCTGTTAAAAGACAAGAATATATGTTAATATTAATGTCAACATATCAATATTGCTACCAATATTTTAACTCTATAACCTTCTAGACATGTATAATTGACATCATTGATTTTCCAACAGCTTTTTAAAAATCTATAAATACTATGTATTCACCTGAGGTATCTCCATGTTCTCAGTTTTTAGACTAAAGAGTCAATATAATTTATGATAAGCAAATGGAACAAGTTAAATGCTTGAGTACTATATGCAAGACTCCGAGAAGTTCAGACCATCCAGTCCAAGGTCAAAAGATTGGACCATCCACTTGTCATTTCCCCATACTAAGTCCAAAGCACAAACAGATAGATAAATAAACACAAACGGAAGGTATTCATGCATTTTATTTGTTACCCACCTCTACGCAGGGCTCAAAGTGGGGTAAAACATAGTTAAAAAATATAGATAAAACAAAGAACAAAGATGAAAACAACAATACTAATTACATGTAAATTTAAAAATCATACTTTAAAATTGACTGGGTGGAGTATATATGTACAGTATAAAGGTACACAATTACGGTACTCAAACAGAATAGAGCTGTAATGGTGACAGCGTTCATAAATGGCAGAGCGAATGTGAGTGTTACCCACAGCTGTAGTGCACAGCTCATTTTTTTAAAAGGTTGTTTGATTCTCACACTGAAGAGCAGATCTATCATAAGAGAATTGTAAGCTGATGGTTTTCCCCAGATCATAGGAAATATTGATGTCAAGCACTTTCTGAAAGCTTTTACTCTTCTTTAGAAAAGGAGAGTAAACTTCATACTTGCAATATCTACTTTGTATTTTAAAAGAACTCTAAGGCATTTCAATAAGGACCTCATCACACTAGAGAATGAATTTAAATCTAGTTTCTGCCTCCTGCAGAATTCTGGGGTTTGTAGTTTAGTGAGGCTGTTAAAGACTCCTCCCTATTAACTACAAAGCTCAGAATTCTGCAGGAGGCAGAAACCAGATTTAGAGTGGATTCATTCTCTAGTGTGATGAAGTAGCAAGAAACAGACCTATACTTTGAATGGCTGTACGGCCATGCTTATGAACCATTGAGGACTTTAAGATCATCAAACAAACAGCCAACACCTGTAGGGAAAAGGTCCGCAAGGCTAAAGCAAAAAACGAGCTCAGACTTGCCAGGGACATTAAAAACAATAAAAAGGGCTTCTATTCTTATGTCAGTAGAAAAAGGAAAAACAAGGAGGCGATAGGACCTCTTAGAGGAGAAGATGGGGCAATGCTGACAGGGGATAGGGAAAAGGCAGAACTACTTAATGCCTTCTTTGCCTCGGTCTTCTCACAAAAAAAGAGAGTCTTCAACCTCAGCAAGATGGAGTGGATGAGGGATTGGAGGACATCCAACCCCAAATTGGGAAAGAAGTCGTCCAGGAATACCTGGCCGCTAATAATGAGTTCAAGTCCCCAGGGCCAGATCAACTACACCCCAGAGTATTGAAGGAACTAGCGGAAGTCATTTCGGAACCATTGGCAACCATCTTTGAGAGTTCTTGGAGAACGGGAGAAGTTCCAGCAGATGGGAGGAGGGCCAATGTGGTCCCAATCTTCAAGAAGGGAAAAAAGGATGACCCAAACAACTACCGTCCGGTCAGCCTCACGTCGATACCGGGCAAGATTCTGGAAAAGATTGTTAAGGAAGCGGTCTGCAAACACTTAGAAACAAATGCAGTCATTGCTAATAGTCAACATGGATTTATCAAAAACAAGTCATGCCAGACTAATCTGATCTCTTTCTTCGATAGAGCTACAAGCTGGGTAGATGCGGGGAATGCCGTGGATGTAGCGTACCTGGATTTCAGTAAGGCCTTCGACAAGGTCCCCCATGACCTTCTGGCAAGGAAACTAGTCCAATGTGGGCTAGGCAACACTACGGTGAGGTGGATCTGTAATTGGTTAAGTGGACGAACACAGAGAGTGCTCACTAATGCTTCCTCTTCATCTTGGAAAGAAGTGACAAGTGGAGTGCCGCAGGGTTCCGTCCTGGGCCCGGTCCTGTTCAACATCTTTATTAATGACTTAGATGAAGGGCTAGAAGGCATGATCATCAAGTTTGCAGACGACACCAAATTGGGAGGGATAGCCAATAGTCCAGAGGACAGGATGCAGAATTCAAAACGATCTTGACAGATTAGAGAGATGGGCCAAAACTAACAAAATGAAGTTCAACAGTGACAAATGCAAGATACTCCACTTTGGCAGAAAAAATGAAATGCAAAGATACAGAATGGGGATGCCTGGCTCGAGAGCAGTACGTGTGAAAAAGATCTTGGAGTCCTCAAGTTAAACATGAGCCAACAATGTGATGTGGCGGCAAAAAAAAGCCAATGGGATTTTGGCCTGCATCAATAGGAGCATAGTGTCTAGATCTAAAGAAGTAATGCTACCCCTCTATTCTGCTTTGGTTAGACCACATCTGGAATATTGTGTCCAATTCTGGGCACCACAATTCAAGAGAGATATTGACAAGCTGGAATGTGTCCAGAGGAGGGCGACTAAAATGATCAAGGGTCTGGAGAACAAGCCCTATGAGGAGCGGCGTAGGGAACTGGGCATGTTTAGCCTGAAGAAGAGAAGGCTGAGAGGAGATATGATAGCCATGTATAAATATGTGAGAGGAAGCCACAGGGAGGAGGGAGCAAGCTTGTTTTCTGCTTCCTTGGAGACTAGGACGCGGAACAATGGCTTCAAACTACAAGAGAGGAGATTCCACTGAACATGAGGAAGAACTTCCTGACTGTGAGAGCCGTTCAGCAGTGGAACTCTCTGCCCCGGAGTGTGGTGGAGGCTCCTTCTTTGGAAGCTTTTAAACAGAGGCTGGATGGCCATCTGTCAGGGGTGATTTGAATGCAATATTCCTGCTTCTTGGCAGGGGGTTGGACTGGATGGCCCATGAGGTCTCTTCCAACTCTTTGATTCTATGATTCTATCTGGAGAGGCGCTGTGCTCGGTCCCGCCATTGTCACAAGCATGGTTGGCAGGGACGAGACAGGGCCTTCTTAGTGGTGGCTCCTCGGCTATAGAACACCCTTCCTAGGGAGATCAGATCGGCTTATTCACTTTTAGCATTTCGGGAAAAACTCAACACATGGCTATTCGAGCAAGCATTTGCAAATACTGAGTAATGGACATAAGAAACGGAACAACTACACGATGGGACTGGACAATGTTTTAATGAGTATTTATTGAATTATGTTTTATTATTGCTGTTATGATTTTATTGATGTTAATGTTTTTATATTGTACTTGTGTTTTTGTGGCATTGAATTTTACCTTGTAAACCGACTCGAGTCACTGGAAGGCTGAGAGGGGCAGTATACAAATACAGTAAATGAATAAGTAAATAAAGGAAGGGGGTGGGCCTGAATACATGCTCAGTGAAGGAATCATTCTGAGTGCCAAAAGAGTGCCTACAGTTGCATACAAGAATCCAGTCCTGTTCATTTCCTTGCTTCACAATCATTGACCACCGTGTTAAATGAAGATATGGCATGGGTGTCTGCTAAATAGGAGAGAACCATGCAGTTGAAGGACTTAAAAGCATGACGTACAGGATGCAAAACAGAAGGGAGGACTGGCAATTCTCCTTTCATAATGTTCGCAATAGAATCATGGCTGGCAAAGCAACAGCTGTACTCTAAACCTTGGCTGCACAGCTTCCTGCAAATGCAACTTCCAAGAATCTAAGTACAGTACTTGCCTTTTTTGGCCATAATTGAGCAGGACACACCAGAGAATGCGGGCTTCCAGATGAATTAGGTTTTTTTCAGGAAATGATGAAACTAAGAGTAACCAGGAAGCTCTACAACCAGCCTGAAAATGGTTTTCTATTCGCTTGGGCCTTTTCTTCTTAGAAGACATCTGACATGTTTTTTATCATTCTTACTGACATTCAGAAAAGAAGAAGAGTGTCCACTCTTTTGTTAAAAATTCTCAGGAGATTGTTTCTGAGAAAGTGTCCTTCTTTAGTCCTACCACACCCTTATTAATAAACACCCTGAAGCAGCAAGGGACCCTTAACAAAGACAAAAGATTGCGCTAACCACATAATAATCTAGTCTAACAGGTATAGCTTTGCCTGGAGGACAGTGGGATTGCTTACCGTCCCCTCTATGGACATAACAGCATCAAACAAACCTTGCCTCACCGGGAAACAGAACTGGCTTCTATGCTGATGGCACTGGTTTGAACATATCACAAATTTTATACAGAAAAAGAAGCTACAGTCTTAAAATCCTTATATGATCTAGCTTTGAAGCCCAAGAAAGGTTGTACCAGGAATTTAGCAGAGAAGACCTGAAAGGTAGAAAGACAAGACTTTCCTTCCACCTTGCCAATTTCATGCATATTTTGCAGGACAAAAGGCTTTTAAAAGGAGCTGACCAAGTTCAGGACCACAGAATGGTTGCAAAAAGTACCTGGATGTCACAATTTGCTCTACAGATTACATGTGTGCTCTTTGCAAGACTTTGCAAAATGACAGTTCTCTTTATTTTATCACAACTGTTATTTTGTAGAGAAGAGTTTTAAAGTAAAGGGTAAGACAGAAGTAAATTTAAATCATATTGCCCATCTTAGGTCCTTATCACACTAGATAATGAATCCAATTTAAATCTGGTTGCTGCCTCCTGCAGAATTCTGGGGTTTGTAGTTTAGGGAGGAGCCTTTAACAGCCTCAGTAAACTACAAACCCCAGAATTCTGCAGGAGGCAGAAGCTGGATGTAAAGTGGATTCATTCTCTAGTGGGATAAAGTACGTTAACTGAGAGAAAAATGTTTGTTTTTTATTGATATAAATATAACAGGCCAGGAAGACAAGTCATCGGAGGTCTATTTTGTATTTCACTTGTTTTTGACTGACTGAGAATTGTGACACTTCCCATCATAAGGTACAATTCCATTTTGTCAGTCCTGTTATTTCAGGAGAATATGTTTATTTCAGTGAAAGTAGCAAAA